CATGAGTGTGGGAAAAGTTTCATTAGCAGCTCAGGCCTTTCACCATCAGAGAATCCACACAGGGGAGAGGCCCTACGAATGCCATGAGTGTGGGAAAAGTTTCATTAGCAGCTCAGGCCTTTCTAACCATCAGAGAATCCACACAGGGGAGAGGCCCTACGAATGCCATGAGTGTGGGAAAAGTTTCATTAGCAGCTCAGGCCTTTCTAAACATCAGAGAATCCACACAGGGGAGAGGCCTGAGGAACCACCTGATCAGCATCTTGTACAGCAGACAGGAGAAGATCAAAAATGAGCTCTCAAAACTGGAGACTCTCATACAAATCCAACCTTCCACACAAACTTCCACATGGCTGGACTTGACAAAAATGAGACAAGCCATTTACAATGCACACTTCATTTCTCTATGGAGGAAAAAGGACAGTAAATGATCTAAACTCCTACCTGCCACAGGGGGCTACAACAATGACACCCTCAATTCACCTAACAATATTGTTAGTCCATCCAACCACACACTTAGCCCGGCAGAAGAGTCTGTCCTATCTCGGGGACTCTTTCTGTCCCACCATCCCCACAAATATGATACAGTTTTGCGGTGAACTGGAAGCCTACTTTCGTCGTCTCTTGACTCAAGGAATATTTTCAATGCACCACTGAACAGAGTACTAGCCCACAGGAACCCTCCTACCAACACTACAAGAACAAGAACTCTGTGTGGACTCCTGCTGACGGTGGAAATGACAGACTGGACCTCTACATAGAGTGCTTCCGCAGATGTGCACAGGCTGAAATTGTGAACAAACAACATCGCTTGCCCCAGAACCTCAGCCATACAGAACGCAATGCCATCCACAGCCTCAGAAACAACTCTGACATTATAATCAAGAGGGCTGACAAAGGAGGTGCTGTAGTCATAATGAACAGGTCAGATTATGAGCAGGAGGCTGCGAGGCAATTCTCCAAGACCACATTTTACAGGCCACTATCCTCTGATCCCACTGAGGAATACTAAAAGAAACTACACCATCTGCTCAAGAAACTCCCGGCTACAGTATGGGAACAAATCTACACGGGGACATCCCCAGCGCCCCGACCAGGGCTATTCTATCTGCTACCCAAGATCCATAAACCTGGAAACCTTGGACATTCCATCATCTCGGGCATTGGCACTCTTACAGCAGCATTATCTGACTATTTGGACTCTCTCCTCAGACCCTACGCTACCAGCACTCCCAGCTATCTTCGAGACACCACCGACTTCCAAGGAAACTACAATGCATTGCTGTTCTTCCTGAAAACACCATCCGGGCCACCATGGATGTAGAAGCGCTTTACACCAATATTCCACATGAGGATGGACTACAAGCTGTCAGGAACAGTATCCCTGATGAGGCCAAAGCATGCCTGGTGGCTGAGCTTTGTGACTTTGTCCTCACCCACAACCATTTCAGATTTGGGGACAACTTATACCTTCAAGTCAGTGGCATGTGTACCCGCATGGCCCCACAGTTTGCCAACATTTTTATGGCTGACTTAGAACAACGCTTCCTCAGCTCTTGTTCCCTAGTGCCCCTCCTCTACTTGCGCTACATTGATGACATCTTCATCATATGGACCCACGGAAAGGAAGCCCTTGAAGAATTCCACCAGGATTTCAACAATTTCCACCCCACCATCAACCTTCAGCTTGGACCAGTCCACACAAGCGAGACATTCCCTGGACACTACAGTGCAAATAAGTGATGGTCACATAAACACCACCCTATACCAGAAACCTACTGACCGCTATACTTACCTACATGCCTCCATCTTCCATCCAGGACACATCACACTATCTATTGTCTACAGCCAAGCCCTAAGATACAACCGAATTTGCTCCAACCCCTCAGACAGAGACAAAAACCTACAAGATCTTTATCAAGCATTCGTAAAACTACAATACCCAGCTGGGGAAGTGAGGAAACAGATTGACAGAGCAAGACGGGTACCCAGAAATCACCTACTACAGGACAGGCCCAACAAGGACAATAACAGAACACCACTGGCCATCAC